TCTCTAAAGCAAGGAGTTTTCCCCTCTTTCTGGAAGGAATCGTATATCTTGCCGCTTTATAAAAATGGAAGCACGTCGAATATTGCGAATTATAGGGGAATCGCTAAGCTGTGTGCCATTCCTAAATTATTTGAAGAAATCGTTGCGGAAGAACTATCTTATTCCATAACACCCGTTATCGATGTATCACAACACGACTTTTGTAAAGGTAAATCAACTGTATCAAACCTTCTTGAATTCACTACAAATGTGAACAATGGTTTCAAAAGTAATTATCAAACTGACGCCATTTACACTGATTTCCGCTAGGCTTTTGATAAAGTATCTTATTCAACTCTAATATACAAACTTGATAAAATTGGTTTCCCTCCAATCCTGCTGCGCTGGCTGTCTTCTTAATTCATTGGCAGGAAACAGAGGGTTATCTTTAAAATATGTTCATCTCGTGTAATTCATGTGCGGTCAGGTGTACCTCAAGGTAGCCTCCTTTGGTCCCCTTTTGTTTATTTTATTCATCAACGATCTTCCAAATATTTTGAAGTATTCGAACTTCTTAATGTACGCAGACGACGTTAAGTTATTTAAGTTCATTGGTGCTCCAGGAGACAGCGAACAATTACAGGTGGACCTTAGTAATGTGTTTAAATGGTGCGAAGTAAATTCTATTTCACTTAACTTGAAAAAGTGTAAATTTATGCGTTTCTCTAAAAACACTTTCAATCGTATAGCTACCGCATTTGTGAAAATAGTGTTGATCAGGTAACTAATTTCATCGATCTAGACGTAACCATGGACTCTAAGCTTGAATTCAAGTCCCAGAGCATCTTGGCTTTCATCAAACGTTGGACTAAAGAATTCAGAGATCCTTATGCCACTAAAGCTTTCTTCACCTCCCTAGTCAGGCCGATCTTAGAATACGGGTCCGTTGTATGGAACCCTGGATATCAAACGCACTCTGACAGACTCGAGTCGGTACAGAAACAATTCTTATTATTCGCATTAAACAATTTGCCTTGGGATTCGACATTAAATCTCCCACCGTACAAAAGCCGCTTGAAGCTCATAAATTTGCCAGCGCTGCACAGCCGTAGAGAGATGCTCGGGTTTTGTTCATGATTAAGATCTTGAACGGGATGGTCAATAGTCCCTTTCTTCTGAACCAGATCACGTTTTGTATTCCTTCTAGGCTTCTAGACATTACAAGCCCATTCTAACTATTTGTAGAACAAGTTTTGAAATGCATGATGCTTTTCGTTGCATATGCCAGGACTTTAATAAGCATTACGACTATTTTGACACCTCCGACTCACATTTTACCATTAAGAAAACCTTACTTGAGATTTTGAATAAATAACATGTAAACCCTTACATTGCACCTTATCGTTCAGCTGGTGAACTGTATTTCTGTTCAGTTTATGAGGTAAACGTAAACGTGAGTCACTTTTTTTTAACTAAATAAATTAATATCTTTAACCGGGAACGATAAATTACACAATATCTATGACTGCTTAGTACAACTGTAATCGGCTTCGTATACTTTCGCGACCGCGTAAGACAATACGAGCATGGATCGGAAACTCGGCCTTTCCGACCATGATCAACAGCTTGTCCACAGCGCGGAGCGGAAACTAGAGCTTTTCGCCTGCCACACACTCAAAGTAATGACTTCGGGAACATGGATCGGAAACTCGTTCTTTCCGACCATGCTGAACAGCTTGTCCACAGTGCGGAGCGGAAACTAGAGCTTTCCGCCTGCCACACATTCAAAGTAAAGACTTCGGGAACATGGATCGGAATCTCGTTCTTTCCGACTATGATCAACAGCTTGTTCATAGCGCGGAGCGAAAACCAGAGCTTTCCGCCTGCCACACATACGAAGTAACGTCTTCGGGAACATTGATCGGAAACCCGGCCTTACCGACCTTGATCAACAGCCTGTCCGCAGCGCGGAGCGGAAACTAGGTCTTTCCGCCGGCCGCACACAAAAGTAGACTGAAGACTAGGCCTCGCCAGCTACCACACCTGCTATTTTATGTGATTATTATTATTATTATTATTTTTATTATTATTATAAATTAAAATGTATAATTAGTCTATTCTGTAATATATCACAAATACTTAAATATCTAAATGTTCTATTCTCATTTTTTTTGTAGACCAAATGAATAAATAAATATTCAATTTTCTAGTGTAGGCCTGGTAAATATTGGAAATGTCATTTTAAAATTTTATTCTTGAAATTTCGCAATATTTGTTCGAATTTCGTTCTTCTAACTTTGTCAGCTTAAAAATTACCTATATTCGTCCTGGTGAATCCAAAAAACTTAAATTTTTTAAATTCGAAAGAAATTTCCTATTGCATTTGTTACCCATATTTTTATTCTATATCGCATTGAATTTTTTAATATTTTTTGGAATTAATCATATGTTTGAAATTACAAAGTTCTTCAAAATAAATCCTGCGGTCAGAGAGAAAAAATAAAAACGCGACTTTAAATAAAAATGTAAGTTTCAAACCATGGTACAATAATTACAGGTATTGTCTTCCTAGAGAGTTTTGCTTCACATCGAAATTTGTGCTCCCTTATTTCCATTTTGACGCAGTTCAATGTTGATTCTTTTACTTTTATTTGGCTTCGCTTTTTGTTTTCGCTCAATTTCAGTTTTATAATTTTTCAAAACTAAAGAAAAAATGTTTGAAATTAAGTGAGGGATACAAATTTTGAATTTATTTACAAGCAAATGTTTTTTCCGGCTTTTGCAAATTGAATAAGTTCTCTGTAAGATGGTTTGTTGAAAAAATACGTGAACATATACATATATATGGTATATGGGGTATGGAAAAAGGGATACTTCCAGCATTAAACGCTTTAGTGTGGGCAACAATGATATCTTTTAAATAAGGGAAATCGGAATATGCGCTCTCTGCGAAGACAATTCGTGTAATTATTGTACCATGATTTCAAACGTATTTATTTATTTCATGGTAGGAGAGCTTCTCAAACAATATAGAAGCAATTATTTTGATTTAAGTCGTTGAAAATTAATGAATAGAGCTCGGATTTTTATGCAAAGTGAATATGCAAAAAATATGCAAGAACTATTTAAAATATATTAAAAAATTGTTAAAAAATAAATAGTTAGATATGCTAAAAAAAGTTTTTATGCACTAGTGTCCATGTTATTAAGATTTCAGAGAAAATGAAACAAGTTTTGTTAAAAGCATATATTCAAATATATTAACAACTTGTATTTATGTTAACTCTTTAAACTACTTTAGTAGTATCTGTGGGAAATCATCCGCATTTGCGGCTCCAACCGTTGCCAAAGTCCCCAACGGCATAGACCAGGAGCGCATCCTGGAGGAGAGTAGGGAGAAAAAGCCAATCCTCTCTCCTTCAGAGTCGGAAGAGGACTAACCTCTTGCAGGGGATGTAGGTGGAGAAGCAGTTCGCTACCAACTACCCTCCAATGACTGAGTTGGTCCTCTTTCCACAGCTCAGAAGAGGAAGTATCGGGGGGCGAAATGCAAGCAGGGGAAACCCTCTTCTGTGGCTGACCGAACTCCTCTTGTCGCTGCATTCAGTAAGCGCCCCAGGTCTACGGAAGTTAATCCAGAAGCCAGTGGAACTTGATGGATATACCGACATCCAAATATGCTTGCGAACGTTGCACCAATTGCTGTCCCAATGCCTCTTCGAGTCATAGTGTGGCACGGTACTGGTGTGGCATTGCCCAATTCCGATCATCCAGACAGACGCCACGAAACGCTTGCCTAAACCAAGGATAGAAGTGATGCAAGGGTCGGTCGAGGCAGAACTGTCCTCGCTATTCCCTTGAAGCAACTACGTCTGGAGGTCTGGATCCCGGGCAACTTATTGTGAGCCCGTAAAAGGCCCTGTGCTCATTGCCGTAATGGGGAGCGCGGGTTGGACTCGGCAGATGACTACTGCGGAAATTAAATGCTGATCCGGGTCGTCGTTGCCTCCGGCACTGTAGCTAATGCCCGTTCATGAGAGAGGGATGAACCATTGTGGGATTGGCTCAAAGCTGTGGAGCAAAGAATACCGGTCACAAGGGGAACATACTTCACTGTTTACAGTATCAATTACGAATGAAAGATAAAATTATGAATGGGAGAGCGGAATACGTGCCGTGGGAACGTATTATAATTGAGTCAAACGGCTAGGCCGGTAAAAGTTCTGAAGAAGGACCAAACCACAAAGCTGTGTTCACTCAAGAGTCCTGCTGGCTTTTTAACGGAGAACTCTCTGTTCTTCTAGAGGGTCAATTTCGTGGAAATCAGAAATGTGGCTAATGAAGATGCCCCAAGTTATGCCATTGTCTTTTGACAGTCTCAAATCGCCCGGTCCGGATGGCATCCTACCTATTGTACTTAAAGAAGGCGTTGAGCTTTAGTTGGCGAACTTGCAAAAGATTTTCACAGCATCGCTTGCACTTGCCTACATACCACAAATAAATTAGATTTGTTCTAAGCTGGGCATCACTATTCAGGTAGAAGGAAGTCAGTATGTCGCGTGCGTGTGAACAAGAGCTGCCATCAAAGTGACATGCTTATAATAATTTATTTGTAGGAAATATGCAAAATATATACAAAAATATGTAAAATATATACAAAAATATGCAAATATGCAAAAAATATGCAAACATGCAAAATATGTGGAAATATGCAAAACATAATGGTTCCAAATTAACTCACTTCCTTCTGTAATGAATTTCTACCCAGGTCCGGACTTTCTGTGATGTTAAACAAAAATAATCACTTGCATAAATATCCGAGCTCGATTCATAACTTATAAAATTCCAAACGCTGAGTGTTTTGTATGAGAAGTAAAATATTCAAATCTACTGCACTCTGCTTGGCTAGAAGTTTGAATGAATTCATGCGGCCTTCTAATATGTATGTTCGTAGTTTTAATGTTAGCAATACTAATAGAGAATTTTAAACAAACAAAGAACCACCAGCTACATCAAATTACCATAACATGCCGCCAAGGCAGTGAAGGAAAGCGCGAAACTTGAAATTAAATTTCCATTGTTATATTTGAATTCCATTTTAAATGCAAATTTACATCATGTTAATTAATTATTCTCAATGGAAGGATGCGCACACCAACAAACACATACAAACATTCTCTTCTGTAATTGCACCAGCCGCACACAGGCACGGACACCCCGACACAAGCGAGACGGCATTCATATTACGTGTACATAGGGATGAAACTATACCATAGAAGTATCGATACCTGTACTTGGAAGTAGCATCGAAAGAAAGTATCGATACCTACAAAGTATAGAGCTAAAAGTATCGATACCTACTTATATCGATATTTGTACCTATATAAGAATTGAAATATGTTTATGTTTGTTTGTATTAAACAACGCTATCACATATGTGCCAAATTAACTTATGTGACTATCATTATTGATTTTAGATTAATCTTTTAGATTAAAAAAAAAAAAAACTTCCAAGTTTTAAAACAAGTTTTACTAGGATGGACCCTCAAAAAACAAGAAAAAGTATAAAGTCCAATAAATAGTTTTTAAAAAGGATACAGAATTTGCTTCTTTTTACAACGCTTTTATCAAATTGCAATGTTGTGTGTCCAGAAACTTTCAATGTTTTGGATCCAGAAACTTTCAATGTTGTGTGTCCGACACCAAAGCAAAGCTTTGAAAAGTTCCTATAAAAAAGCATAGTGCATAGGGCGACAGCTGTAGTGAATAGGGCGAGGTAGATGACATCTAGATGTCGCCCTATGTACTAAGTTTGCTACAGCGGAAATAGACGACACGCCATTTCTTTAAATAAAATTAATTGGTGCTCGTTTGTATGTACATACATATGTAAATGCATGTGTGTGCACCTTTCTATTAATATCGTTGAATTATTTTAATATCTATTGCAAAATTTTATTCAGACAGGACTAAAAAGTAGTAAATAAATAATATAAAAAAAACTTTTTAATATACAACGCTTTTATAAATGGACTAAAAAGTAGAAAATAATATTTCTCAGTCCCATAGAATTTGTTTTGATAACTTTTGATTGAAAATGAAAAGCGTGGGGCGATGTATATTAAAAAGTTTTTTTTATATTATTTACATATTATGTTCGTATTTTATTTGGTTGTATTTATTTCATACAAATTAATTAATTAATAAAAAATATCTGTATTATAACACTGTTCAACAGCATTTTTGCAGAGTAACAGTGCTATATTTCTGGAAGATGTTATCATGTTTATCAAATTTAATGAGACGATAATAGGTCTTTCATTGTCCAAAGCAACCTTTTCTTCTACATCAAAGCTCTATGTGGCTGTTTTAGAATTTGTACTTTTGGCATTTTGTCTGATGGCCTTGAAATACAAAAAGAAAGAAATTTAGACGCAAATCAACTTCTTTCGGAAATATACCATGGTCATTCTGATAAAAATTAAGAGTATATACTAATTTGTAAAATTGTTTAAATAATACGTTAGGTACTATAAGCCGCCAATTGAAAAACTCGGATTTTGTCGCGCTGCCCAAAAACAATAATTTTTCCAGGTGCTTTCCAGTAAGTCGATTTCTTGATGATTGTGGCCCCAGCTTTTGAAAATAATCTCTCGCATGGTTAGGAAGTCGCAACTATATGTAGATACATGCGCGCCTATTTGTATAACATTGGGTTTGATAAACAAAGCTACAACGCATCACCTTTTGTAGAGTGTTTTCGTTTTTGTCCCATCGCAAGCTTTTTATGTTGGTACCAAAAGTCAAAATCTTCTTTAACAACGTCTTCTTCGGAGCTGGTATTAGCGTCTACTTGAATAAGACTTTTTAGTTTAAAAATTGTCCGACCGCAAGCGTTCGCATCTTGAAAATTAAGATTCTTGCAGCGATGATCGAGGATAGTTCCTAAAGCTGCGTAGGTGTTGTATTCAATGAGACCAAATCTTTTACTACACTCCGCCAGGAGTTTCGTTTGTAGTTGGGTGACACAATCAAGAGTTGTAGAAAATTTACTCACTTGAGATGTTAGGCAGTTAACCATAGGTATGATCTTGGAAAGTGTGACATAATTCTGTCCTGAAGATTCTTTGGTTACGAACTTGAAAGGCTTCAGTAGCTGAACTATTTGCTTCAGTATTTGTATTTAATTTTTTGCTATCATTTCAGGACTGCCTGCAGCATCAAGTATAAGTTGAGACGAAATTTTGGACATATCCAAAAGTCTTTCCAGCATGTAAAAGAGTGAATTCCAGCGAGTTATAACATGGAGGATGAATTTCTTGGTGGAACTCTTGCTCGATCCAATTTGCAGGTCCCTTCGCTACGAAAGAAATATAACGCGAACCCTTTCGCGTAGAATTGTCAAAATTGGCGTCACCCCGACGTTGGCGCCTTCTTGCGGTTTTCATTGGCAACTAAACTGCCAAAATTTGTTAACTATTCACAAAGAAATTAGATTAAAAAATAAAAGTCCGGGAATAAAATTGTCAATGAATTGGGGTTTCGACACAAGTACTTTTTTCCGATACCTACTCAGTACTCGGTTCAAAAGTATCGAGTACAAAATTACTTGGTATCGGACGAAAAGTATCGAGTATCTACTTGTATTTACTAGTATCGTTTCATCCCCATGTTAGCCCGATCACTTTAGACCAAAATCGACGTAAGATTAAAAAAAAATCCGGGAAGAAATTTTTTGACGCTTAGGTATCTCCTATTTAGATGAACACAAAATGAAAATTTTTCCCCCAATTGCGATACGGGAAGTGTCTGCCATCTTAGATTTTATGTTTTTTACGATTTGCGTGCGAATTTTGCATTTCTCGCGAAAAAAGGTAAACAAAATTGTTGAGAATTCGATTCCCTACAATTTTCATGTGCCTATCAATTTTTAAAACAATTATTTATTGCTAATAATATGCAAAAAAATTAGGCAAGTGGCGCGGTTTTTTCGAATTTTTAGCAATTTCTATTTGAAATAAGGGGCACATTTAAATGGCAAAGTTGTAGAGGACAAATTTTCCAATAAACGCATTATTTATATGTTTACGTACGACTTGTAGATCTCGACCAACAACGCGCTCAATGCAGCGGAAAGGGAGAAGCTACTCAAAACTTTTTTCCACACCACCTCAGAGGTAAAGTTATTGGCGCGTTTTATTTTTATGTGGTTTCACCAGTAGTCCTAATCCACAATTAGTTATTTTCGCCACAATAAAACTCTTTAGAATCAGATAAAAGTCGTATTGATAAAAGGACAAAAACTATTTGCTAATTACAGTTTCAACTGACTGAAAATAATTATTCATGGGCTTGGCCTGTTGGTGAACCCACAGTTGAAAATAAGCGCCAAAAAACACGACCTCCGAGATACTGTGAAAAAAGTTTTGAGTAGCTTTCCCCTGCCGCTGCATTGAGTGCGTTGCTGGTCGAGATCTACACGTCGTACGCGGGTATATAAATAATGAGTTTATTGGAAATTTTGTCCTCTACAACTTTGCGATTTAAATGTGTCACTTATTTCAAATAGAAATCACTCAAAATTCGAAAAAACCGCGCCACTTACCCAATTATGCGCATTTTTTGCATATTATTAGCAATAAATAATTGTTAAAAAAATGATAGGCACACGAAAATTGTAGGGAATCGAATTCTCTACAAATTTATTCTCTACCATTTTTTCGCGAGAAATGCAAAATTCGCTCGCAAATCGTAAAAAGCATAAAATCCAAGATGGCGGACACTTCCCATATGGCGATTGGGGGAAAAATTTTCATTTTGAGTTTACCTAAACAGGAGACACCAAACTGCGTCAAAAAATTTCTTGCTGGAATTTTTTCGATGCAAAATTCGCGCGCAAATCGTAAAAAACACTAAATCCAAAATGGCGGACATTTCCCATATCGCAATTGGGGGAAGCATTTTCATTTTGTGCTCACCTAAACAGGAGACACCTAACTGCGTCAAAAAATGTCTTCCTGGAATTCTTTCGTTGAAAAAATCTAATGCAAAATTCGGGCGCAAATCGTAAAAAACACTAAATCCAAAATGGCGGACATTTCCCATATCGCAATTGGGGGAAAAATTTTCATTTTGTGTTCACTTAAACAGGAGACACCTAACTGCGTCAAAAAATTTCTTCCCGGAATTTTTTCGTTGAAGAAATCTAAAGTGATTGGGCTAACATGTACATGGCAAATGAAAGTGGATAAGTGGGTTCAAACTCTGATTCGCAGGGAAATAGCGGAAAATACAGTTTATGTTATGTGATATTAAATGGTTTGGTTTCCTCCGATACTTTGGGTATGCTTTCAAACACCTTAACACCGATTCCCAAAGCGTTTTTTGTATGTATGTACAAAGAACCCGCTAAGCGCCCTGTAGATCTGCTGGTGACAATAGACGATCATAAGCTATCGTGTCCATGCATTACCGATTGTTAGGCAATTCGCTAGCGACGCCCGTATTGAAAATATCATCTCGATTCTAGGGGAGGGGGGGAGGGGCAATAACGCAAATTTGTGTTATTTCCCAATTGAAAGTGAAATTTCATTTTTCTACAATTTTGAATGTGACCAGCGACACGGCGGTCCGCGTTCCCCACCCCCTCTCCTCCTTTCGCAATTATGCACTGCTGTCATTATAATCGTTTAGAAAAAAGTATAATAATGAAATGACACTAGTTCACTTCTGAAACTGCTTTTTAATGTCCGAGTAATGGGAATTATTGCGTACGGTGTTATTGCATGCACCCCATCCATGGTGGAATTAAACCAGGTGAAGTAATATTAGAGTGAGAAGAAATATTTTGACACTGCCTTATTTGAAAATTTGCCTATAAAATGTGACTATAAGACAGCCGAATGTCAGAAAATAAAGCGAGAAAGCTGTTTTATTACTTCACGTGTTTACTGCGCCATTCATCCCACCTGCTTTTACCGAGTATACGTTCAAATTTATAAGTCTGAGAATAGGTAAAATTACATCACTACTTCGTACCACATTTCGGATATTGTTGACTATTTTTAAACGTGCCCTTTATTTTGTATTATAATTTAAATAACAATTAATATCAAATATTCAGTAACACTTTAGCTACGTTAAAAAACTTGTCTTTGTCTCCCGACTGCCAAAAAAGTCCATTCAATACTCGCCGGTCAATTG